GTTTTTATTGGCCAATGCTTTGAGAAGTGGATGGCCTGTTCCTTCTTCTGAGTCTGTCTTAGTCTGGAAGCTCCACTGAAACCTGTCCACCATGGGTAACCCTGCTGGCATTTGCAACACTGGTGGTATAGTTTCCAGCCTCCTAGCAACACACAAGCCACCATAGGATGACAAACTGACAGACAAGTTTGTCTCCCTTAGCTGTTTCAAACTGCTCCTCTAACTTCCTGGCCTCCCTTAAAGCTGCTTCCAAACACCTCCACACCCAGCTCTTCTTTTGGAGTTTCCCTTAAAACTGCTTCCAAACACCCCCGTACTCCCCCTCTACCAGGACTATAGGAAAAGGAGCTCTGCTGGTGCAGTGCCTAAGGTACTTGACTGCTAGCCAGAGGTCGGCAGTTCATAACCACCAGCCATTCCATGGAAGGAACATGGGACAATGTACTTCAGTTGCTCTGAGCTAAGGCATCAGGCTGCTAACCAAAAGGTCAGCTGTTCAATCCTACTAGCTCCATGGAAGGAAGATGATGCAATCTACTTTTGTAAAGATTTACAGCCTAGGAAACTTTATAGTGTCACTATGAGTCAGAATCGACTCAATGGCCATGGGTTTTTGGTTTTACTAGGACTATATTTTTCTGAGTATTCTGCCTAATGATACTCTGTGACTATGAGTATTCCAGTCTGATTGGGAACAGGCACATATTCAGGCTATGTGTGAGCGTTGAGCATTCTAAATATTTTGACTGGTTGTTTCTTTGGTTCTAATTAATTTTCTCATACATAGGACTTTGATGGATCTTCTGAAGATCTCCAAGGCTCTGCTTTATGAAATTTCTCACTTTCCAGTAGTCTTAGTGATCTAGTGCTGCTATAACAGAAATACTGCAAGTAGGTGGCTTTAATGAACAGAAATTTATGTTCTCACAGTTTAGGATGTTCCAGAAAGTTCAAACTAACTCCCATTGAGTCAATTCTGACTCATAGTGACCCCTTTTGGTTTTCCAAGGTTGTAAATCTTTATGGAAGTTGATTGTCTAGTCTTCTTTCCAAGTAGTGGCTGGTGGGTTTGAACAGCCAAACTTCTGGTTAGCACTCAAATACCTTAGGCAGTACACCACCAGAGCTCCTGTTTAGGAAGCTAGCAGTCCAAATTCAGGATTTCCCTGCCCACTGTGGGTGAAAGTCCTTATTTCTTGTCAGCCTCTATTCTTTGACTTCTTGGTGATCTTCATGTGGCAGGGCATTTATCTTCCCCCAACTCTGTTTCCTGAATCTGCTTACATTACACTTTCATATCTCAAATAAGATTCTTTTAAGAGAGTAAACCTCCCCCCGCCATTGTTTTTCTAGCATCTCATGTATAGCATGTTGAAATCACGATCTCACGGGAATAATTTGATAAAACTCCCTCTGGGCCCTAGTTTCTAGGAGACTTCATTAGCTGCAATAAATAACTCTAGATGTCAGGCAGATGTTTCTGTTAGAGATTTTTCATGGATTAAGAAGCTATCTATTCTCTGCCTATGTCAAAGGGGGTGAAAGAGAAGAACTTACAGAGAAGAACTGCACTGCTGAATTCACTGTCAACTGTTTCTGAAGGTGCTGTTTCCATGGTGAAGTACACAAGAAGAAAACTGTTGAAATTATTTTCATAAAAACAATAGAGATGGGATATCATTTTTAAGAGTTTATTAAATTAATCTTTCCTTAGACATGCAGAATAAATATCATAGAAGCTCAGTGTCAACATAGAGAGAAGATAAAGTAGGTGGGAAAATGTGAGAGTACAAAAGTCTCTGATGAGGATCCATGAAGGTTATAGGAGTTTAAGGTTAAATGATGGAGATTCATTGTACATACCTGAGAGACCAAGATATTTTGGACTTTGTAGGAAGTCTGGAGAAATAACATGTTTAAGAAAATACTAAGTTATCACCAGGCAGCTGAGAAAAAGACTTTAAAAGATTTTTTATATATTCATAGGAGATCATAGTTCAATGAAATAGTTACATGCTTTTGGATCTCCAGAAATATTCTTTGGAATATCTTTCTGGCTAGAATGGGTAATATGTCAGACAGATGAATGGAAGCCTAGCACAAAGATATTTGGAGATTTATCAGACTGAAAAATAGCAAAAAGAAAATATTTCCTACCTCATAATATACCTTTTCTCTTCTCCTTTAAGCTTAATGGATCTACTATTCAGTTCTAAATGTACCTCAGTTGGGAGGATAGCTTTAAATTATTTCCTGTATGATAGTTTAAATGGATCTTTGGACAATTGCTGAGTTTTATGTCTTTTTTACGGGTTTATAAAACTTGTGATTCATTAGGAGTCCCTGAACTAGTAATATATATGTTTTTATTCTTTAAACTAAATTTACTATCTACTCCAAAACACTGTTTGTTGGACTACCCTTTCTGAAAGAGATGAAAGATGCAGTCCCAATTTTAAAGGCATTTTAAATCAAAACATATGAAGTAAACTCATTAAAGTAACAATCAGAAGACAATATGAAATCAGATGTGGTAAACTACAAATGTAGGAAAAAGCAGTAAACTTTGTAGGCATTTAAGGGTTAGAGAAACTATGAAATGAAATAGTCATGGGAAACATATAGAATTTTAAAAATAAACTAATTTTTAAAAAATAGCTTTAATTATCATTGGTTAAGGTAAAGCATGATCAAGTTTGAGAATTTGATTAGAAGACATAGAAATATTTTGATGTGGGAATGAGTAAGTAATATATAGTGAAATGAAGCAACCAATTTGACTAGAAAGGGGAGTGAGTAAAGAAAATCTAAATTAGTTAAAATAAAAGACATTCTGACTGGAAAGGGTTGGGATTGCATAAGAGGTTTTACAAAATAAAATAGGCAATACTTTATACTAAACATATCTTTGAGTTTTATATCAGTGGTCACAGCGGTTTTTATAGTGGTAGTGACATTTTTGGTGGTACTAGTAATGCCTGGGTCAGTGCTAAAAACTAAAGGTAAAAGTGAAAATTAAGAATAAAGTGAATTCCAAGACATTCTAAAATGTAGCTGAAGCAAAGGAAAGCAAAGGTGATTATAAGTGCATATTTGAATCTGTAGTATTTTTACTGTATATGCTTAAATGAGAAGAGGCTCTGGTGGCATAGTGCCTAGGGCACTTGACTGCTAACCAGAAGGCTGGTGGTTCAAACCCACCAGCCACTTAGTGGAAGGAAGACTGGGCAATCTGGTATGCTACATAGATCAGAATTTTCTTTATAAGGGAGTGTTTTGTCTTAGTGTAGTGAGAAACAGTGTGTTGAATGACTATAAGTATGAGTAGTATACATAAAGAGATTGGTTGTCCCAGTCTTTATCCACCATGCTTATGTTTTTCATGTACTCCATACATACAGGTAAAGAAAAAAGTATAAAATACATATTTTACTTATTATTTAAAATCTCTTGGAAGTCTGGCTCTTTATTAGGGATTGTAAATGCTGCTTGTGACTCAGTCCCTCAATTAGTAGGATACACTTTGCATATTAATTTTTACATTCCATATCAGTAAAAAATATAGGAGGATATATAGTAGGCACCTGATGTCAAGGATAGGTGACTGAAAGAAAGAACCAGAAGAGGTCTACACATGAATGGATGGACACAAATAAATTAAGATTAATCTGGTACCAGATTCATCTGGTATTCATCTGACTTTCAATGATATAATTGCATCTATAAGAATAGAATAATTTTGAATATTCACATGTACATGGTCTTAAAATAACACAGAAGTTATAATTTTGCTGAGAGTAAAAAACAATAGTCCTTGGCCCCAATCCTCCTGTTTTTCAGAAGAAATAATTCATTAATTTCTGTTTAATTTGGGGGGTCATGTTTTCAAATAATGCAATTGTGTATTGTTTCGATTTTATGTTCTTCTAGATGAAAATATAGCTCAGTCATATAACCTTCCTTCCAAACAACCAAATGTAGTTACACACCTATTTTCTGTTTCTCAGTGGTAAACTT